TAAAAAGATATATGTATTTTACTCTTTGATTCGTTGGTATTAAAAGAATAATGAAGTTTAAGTTAGAATAGTTTATAAAAATGTATTTTAAGCCTATATTAGTCGGTTCGAACCACAATAAAAACACAATTTTAACCCTGTTAGCTGAAACGAAATTTGTATTTTAAAATAACATTGATTTTTACTAAACTAATTAAATTTACTTTTTAAAAAGGATTTTTTCCCCCAAGTAATCAGGTGAACAAATAAATTAATTTTATTTGTCACCGTTGTGTTCAGAAGGTGTTGCCCACCGGACTATAATGTTGTCGTCCGGTTGCTTAGTCGCCGGCCGAATACGTTGCTGACACTGGCTCGGGCACTAGCCAATAAGCCGTCGTTATCAAGGTTATTTAATGATTCTACCTTAGCCAGCTACAATAAAATAATCAACGAGACAGAAGACCTTCTTAGTTTATGTTTTTTATTAATTCACTAAATGCTTGTTCCGCTGAGCGAGGCTTCCCTTAAATCGATATTGTCGGGATCGCTAGTACGAGAAAGCGAGACTATCTAGCCTGCCTGTATTTATACCCATGCCCTAGCCTCCCCCCCCCCTAGCTATTCCCACGGGACAATGCGCTCAAAACTTGTGAACCAACAAATTATCCCCCCTGATGCTAACAACTCTGGCTACTGGTCAGTATAAAGACTACTATTGTCCTGTCAGAGCGTCAGTCTCTTTAAACACGTCACCTGCTGTCTATCCCTACGGTGTACCCTGTAATTATCTAGTGAACTAATACTCATGAGATTCTGACCCAACAGATGGCAACACTATTTCTATTCCATTTTAGTATCTGCTAAAAGTAAATACGAAATTTAGAACATTACGATTATAGAAACCTAAACAGTTTTCCTGTATTATCAATAATTTTTCATTAAAGTAAAATATGTAACCCAATTTGAAGCTTATTTAAATTGTATGTTTACATGTATAGTGTTTTATAAAGTTTTAAACTGTGATGAAAACATGTTTTAATACCTCCATAAATCTCCACTTCACATAGTGTCAATGGGCTTTTAAAAGCGGAAATGGTGACTTGATCAACCATGGAACCGATGTTACTGATGTCATACGTTACGACGTTGTCATTTACCTCATTGTTTTGGTAGAAGTAAGTGGCAAGATTTTGTGTCGTATCGTATCCTTTTACGGTAAAGTTTTTCAGATGCTCAGGCATCGAATCTGAAATAGAATATCTGAGAAGGAATCGTATAAGGGCAACGCTCCACGTCAAGATATATTTTTTATACCTGAACTCCTTTAATTAAAATGTTTGTATTCTTGTTTTAACTAATATAAGACAACGTTAATTCGTTTTATTTTCACTTTCGTACACAATTTACCCTTCAAAATACCTATCCAAACCATTTGTTCTTAGTTCGCAAGTTATTAACCAAAGCTCAAACAAGAACATGCATTGAACACTGTCTATCCCATTAGTATTTGAAAATTATACTTTTAATGCTAAATCAAGTTACGGGGATAAAATAAAGCCTAGAGTACGTTATAAAAACTGATATGTAAGGATACACACTGTTTTTACCGTAAATCCATATAAAATTAAAGATAAACTCATATTCAAATAGTACGCGTTTTCTTTCGGGGGGTTGAACTAAATTGTTCGGGAGACGGACACTGGCAAAAGTATATGTTTAATATTAAATTTCTTTCTGTAGGCGGTAGACTTTCTTCGTTAGAGAGAGAAAGAGAGATAGAGAGAGGGAGGGAAGAAGAAAGAGAGCAAATGTGAGTAATATTTCTCTAACTTGTGTTGACAATGACAAATCTGCGAAAGATAGTTTTGTTTCGAAGAGTGAGTTGCCAATGCTGCATCCCGCTGCAAGCCGTTTGACTGCACGAGGAAAGTAAGGTATCAAGGCTACCGTCAACAGCTTGTTCTGTATTTATCGAGTGACATGTCGGTAATTGGGGGGTCAATCCTTTCAAAGCGAGATTGCGACCTATGGAGTATATTATGAACTAAATTAAATCACATGGGATAGGTTAAAAAAGAAAGTAACAAGTAAGGAGATTTAACATTGAAACAAAAGAGGAAGGTATGGCTAAACAAAACAAAATTTGTAACAAGGAGTAGGCCTATCCGTATAAGTGAGCTCAACGTTTAATTTATGTCATAATTTATCTTATAATAAACAAAGATAGAGTTTTGTAGTACTGCAAAAAATTGAAATCGAAACAGGACAGAAAAACAGGCAAACCACATACCCCTCACCATATACTTCGCCCTAAACAGTGCCCCATGCCAAAAAACACACCGAATACCACACATTATAACAAACACCAACGAACCACATGTCAACTTCTTAAACAGTAAACCCACACACCTCGGCCCACAACACCCACCCTCCCAGTTAATAAACCAAGATAAAACTAAATTTGTTTGTAAGAAAAGTATTCTTTAATGTGTTACCATTGAAAAGACAAGAAATGGGCTATTTTTAGTGGCAGAAATATTACTTTAAGTAATATTCTTTTCTTTTTTTTTTCAAAATTAGATGCAGAAATAATTTGATTTGCGAACATTTTATTGTAATGCAAGCGAAGTTTTTTTTTTTGTAATGAAAAATAAACACATTTTACGGAAAATATGTCTCACATGGTACTAGTATATTGTTATCTTTATGTCAAGCGTTCACTAACCTTTACAACCAGGTTAAACTATTTAGATGTTTCATACGTCTTTAATCGTCTCTACTCCACTATAGGTCACTGTACTCAATCTACTACGTTAAACTCCCTTTCGCTCTTTTCAATTTATTTCTACTAGTTTGGACTAAGTGAATCAAGAGGTGTACCTATGCAATTTTACCTTCCTAACTGAAACCGTAGTAAAGTTGTCGTGTTCCCATTAAAATACAGAACTGTTGCCACAAAGACATTGTCCTGTTTATCAGCGCGAGTAATTTTGACAAGACTATGTGGATTTTTATGGGATACATGAAACTTGTAAAATTGTAAATACTTTTAATTTTAGTCTTGTGCTACTGATGTATATACAGGCTTTTCGTTTAGTTTCCAGTCACGAAGTGGTGTAGTGCAAAAACTGGATCCTTTTAAAAAGATCTCACTCCTATCCATTGACAGATCTTTTACCTCTCCCCCCCCTCCCCCCACTCATTGTCAAATTTAAACATTTTTTTTGTATATATAATATATTTAGACGGTAATTTTTTTATTGTGCCGGAAAGCGAAGTAGTTATAGTAGTTTGGTGACTTGAAAGAATTTAAAGCACAAATCTGAGACCTAAATGTGAAGCCCGTCCACCTAACTTAAGTGGATTTTCAGAAACTGGAAGAGAAGTAACTGCCTGTTCCAGTTACGAATATCACTCAAACGTAAATAGAAAACTACATATGATAAAATACTTATAAATGAAAATGCATTCAAGTCACGTCTTGGCTTTCCAGCTGTATATATACATGCTAGCCGTCGGTACCCGTTACACGCGAATTATAGGCATATATATTTTAATGCTATATTTGTTTGAGAAAAATATTTTATGAAATAGTTTTTGGTCACAGCGCAATGTGCTTTACTACACGTTGAATGATATTATTAACAAAGCAAAGAAATAACTAAATAGCTAAAAATCCCACACATTAAAAATAGGCTACCAATAAGTGTTTGAAACACCAAATTATATACATTATTAGTCAACAAAACAACATTATAAATGAATACACTGATGAAGAGACTTAAATGATTCCGTTAAAATTCCGTCTGTTCAGTGGTATTTATGTAGTTTTTTAAAGTAAGTTGCATTTATTTTGGACAAGAAAATTGTATACATTGCATAGCGTACGTCTTGATAAGTATATCTAAATAAAATTTGAATGAAATCGTTCATTTATTCATATTCTAAAATTGGTCAATGATGCCATTAGTTTTTTGTACTTTACGTAGATTAAAGATGTGACGTAAGACGTCATTGTTTATGCGTTTTCGGCACAACCATAAACACTTTTCCGGATGCATGAATAAACATGTGTTTGTACATCCGAATATGCTTCTTTTTTTATTTTGCTTCTTTAAATAAAATTTAGTTGATACCTTTAAAACATCCAACATATTATTTAAAAAAAAAAGTCCATATATTTAATTTCTGCATATAGCTAAACATACTCATCAATTAGTCTCGAATATGTTGCGGACAGAGAGAGAGAGAGAGAGAGAGAGAGAGAGAGAGAGAGAGAAAGAGAGAAGTGCGCACATTGACAATATGTATTAGGATATACATACGTATCTATCTATCTATCTATCTATCTATCTATCTATCTATCTATCTATCTATCTATCTATCTATCTATCTATCTATCTATCTATCTATCTATCTATCTATCTATCTATCTATATATATATATATATATATATATATATATATATATATATATATAATATATATAAATATATATATATATATATATATATATATATATATATATATATATATATATATATATATATATATATATATATATATATATATATATATAAATATATATATATATATATATATATTATATATATATTTATATATATATATATATATATATATATATATATATATATATATATATATATATATATATATATATATATATATAACATAAATATGTAAATATAAGCTTCGTTAGTCTCACCTCCAGATATTTTTATTTCACAAACTTGCGTCTTTTGCTTGAAACTAATGGTGACACTGTTGGAGAGGCTGCTGAGTTGGAAGTAGTAGTCGAAGGTACAAAAATTATCGACACTGTGGGTTAGGTACCTTTGCTCAACTACTCCTTCACTATTTCTAAACACCAGCGTGCCCGCATCCGTAAGTTCTGTCATTTGTAAAGGGCGACAATCACTGAAATTGCATGTTCTAAACAAGTACAGGGAATTCAAAACGCATGAGTAGGACTAGATCCGTACACGTGTACATTAAACATGTATCAGTGGCGTCGCAAGGTTGGCTGTCATTCGGTGCGGCACTTCATGATGTTAACCAACCCCCCGCCTCCAAAGAAAAAAAACCAATGTGTGTCACTCCCACCCCCTTGTAATAATTGTCGATGTGTACTTTAAAGACTATTTTACTTTAATTATCCATTAATTGAACTGGTAAAAAAACATATTTCTTCTGTAGTTTTTGCTATTTTTTGCCTGGGTGTCACCCCCCCCCTTAAATGGTGTCATCCGGTGCGGCCCGCATGCCGCCCTCGCTAAGCCTCTGACGTTGACACACGTGCACATATCTGTAGTGTAGAATGTATGTAATTTTAGCTTTAGCTTAACATATTTTAAGTTATGGAAATAAATTATTGTTTTAAATGATTTCAAAACGTTTAATACCATACTGATGAGAGATTTTTATCCAATACAAGCTATGGTGTAATTTCCATGATACAGTAACACTCTCAGTTTCCACGCAGGTGGTGTCGCTTTGGTCAGTAAGCGCAATCCTATCTGGACCAACAAATTCTGCTTCTGAAACCAAATTAACTAGAACAAAAACATCATTTTATTTGTATTCGTAATCTTCAATTTTGTTTTTTGTAAATTATTATTTAATGAAGTTCTAACCGGGTTTAAAAGAAAATTCTGCTTCAAAACCAAATTAACTAAATAAAACCATTTTATATTTAGCGCGACTTTCATAGAGTGCTGTGAATGATGTATAATTTAATAAAGTCCTATTTGGTTAAGAAAGCTGCTTCTAAAAGCAATATATCTAGTTAAAAAACACTATTTAATTTGTTAGTCTATTTTCTTTAATGTATTTGTGATGGATGGTTTTTTTTTTAAATTTAAGCTAGACAATAATTATAGACCTTTTTTTAAATTTTATACTTGTTTGACAAAGTATTTTATAAAACATTTATTGGTCAAAACGCTATGTGCTTTACTGCACGTTGAACGATAAAGTGATAAAAAATAACTAAATGGTAAAAATCCGACACTTTATAAAATATTATAGGCTATAATACCTATTACGAAAATTAAAACCAAGATATATACTTTATTAGTGAACACAATTCATATTTTATGCCATTACCGATTAAGTGACTTAATTGATTCCGTTAAAAAACCTGGCTATACAATGGTATCTTTGTTTTCTTTTAAATTATTTTTTCTTTTTATTATTTTTAGCAGAGAAAATTGTATACCTTTTAAAGCGAAAGTCTTGATAAGTAGATCTATAAATATCTACTACATTTTGAATGAAATAGTTCATCTTTTCATATTCTTAACATGGGAGATGGGGATAGCTAATTTATTTAATGATGACGTCATTACTATTGTGTACCATTATCTCAATTTGAATGTTAATTATATTTTAATCCCACAATCATTGTCGCCTATAGTATTATGTACTTTCCGTACTTTAAATGTTTTAGTAACTTTGTTTCATGATATTTTACTGTTCCATCTGATGCCATTGTTTCTGCAAGTGTTCTTTTTTTTCGATTTATATTTTCTCTAGCCCGTTCTTGTTCCATTTATATACATTTTTCCAATTGCATAACAAAAGATGTGTTTCAAAATTCGATTAAGTTTTTTTTAAATAACCCGTCTTTAGTAAATTTTAGTTTATACATTTAATACATCCAAAATATTACTTTCAATAAAAATCCGTATCTGGGAAAACTTAAAATATTTCTGAAGATGAAGATCTCATAGCCTCGGAAAATATGTGACGGACAAAGAGAGAGAGAGAGAGAGATAGAGAGAGAGAGAAAGAGTGAGAGAGAGAGAGAGAAAGAGAGAGAGAGCGTGAGAGAAGTATTAGATTTCTCACCGAACTGACAACCTCTACCAAACCAACCATCAGTGCAGACTCCCATATTGCATACGCCACACAAACTAGGTGGACAGTTACACCTTAGGTGGCAGAAGTGTCCAAACCAATTTTCATCACACGCTGCTGAGAAAAATATCTCTGAACTTAATCAATTGAAATTATTTATTTTTAATAATTAATTTTTATTGTTTTTATTTTTAATAATAATTAAATTTATTTGTAATTATTAATTTAATTAATTTATTTGTAATAATTAATTAATATGGTGTAACTGTATTAATTGTTCAATGAGGTAAAATTTATAATTATTAAAAAAATACAATTATTATAAAATTTAAAAAATGCGCTTTCAACAACAATCAGGTTAAGCCTTTTTTTTAACTTTCTCGTATATACGAAGTATAGAGAAAGTCTTGTTATCGGAAAAAAATCGATATTTCTACAAATCTCGACGTTTTACACCTCACTGATACGGAAAAACATAATTTTGCAATCTTGTCCGTATGTCTGTGTGTGTGTGTCTGTGTGTCTGTGTGTGTGTGTAAACACGATAATTTGAGTACCGTTACAGCTAGGTTGATGAAATTTAATATATAAGTATTTTATCAAAATTGTAGATCTGTTTCAACTTTTGAGCGATTTCCGATAACCGGAAGTGGTACTTTTTCTACTTTGAATTTTTCAAAAGCCTATAACTTGAGTACTATTTCAAATAGATAAATGAAATTTCACAAGCAAGTAAAAGATCTAATTCTCTACCTTCTGTTAAATTTTGAGTAATTTACTTTGACCGGAAGTAGTAATTTACACTCTTTCCGATTCCTCAAAAAATAAACCGGGAGTGATCTCCCCTAAACTTTCTCGAATATTCTTATATAAAACAACAGGGGATGGGAACTCGGGCTATAGACATGATTTTTAATCCATTTTAAATACTTAAAGTTTTAAAAATAGAATAAAATCTAGTAGACAAATTAATTGCACACCAAGTTAATGCCCAATAAAAAAGTGCATAATAGTGCGCAATATTATTAGTACTTTTAAAATTTACATTAGTTTTTTGAGAAATCGGAAGTAGCGTAAATTACTACTTCCGGTCAACGAAAATTACTCAAAATTTAACAGAAGGTAGAGAATTAGATCTTTTACTTACATTTGAAATTTCATTTATCTATCTGAATTAGTACTCAAGTTATAGGCTTTTGAAAAATTCAAAGTAGAAAAAGTACCACTTCCGGTTGTCGGAAATCGCTCAAAAGTTGATACGGATCTACGATTTTGATATAATACTTATATATGAAATTTCATCAACCTAGCTGTAACGGTACTCAAGTTATCGTGTTTACACACGGACAGACAGACACACAGACACACACACACAGACATACGGACAAGATTGCAAAATTATGTTTTTCCGTATCAGTGAGGTGTAAAACGTCGAGATTTGTAAAAATCTCGATTTTTTTTGTTTGCACGATTACAATACTTTCTCTATACTTCGTATATACGAGAAAGTAAAAAAGCATGTGAAATTATAAAGTACTAATAATATTCCACACTATTATACACATCTTTATTCGACGTTCGCTTGGTGCGCAATTCTTTTTTCTATGAGATTCTATTCTATCTTAAAAAGGTTAAGTATTTAAAATGGATTAAAAATCATGTCTAGAAGTCTATATCCCGAGTTGCCGTCCCCCGTAGTGTTATATTAGAATATTCGATAAAGTTTAAAGGAGATCACTCCCGGTTTTTACATGTATGTTATTACCTTTATATTACGCACCCTTAAAAAGTAATTGTGAATTGCAAACGAATGTTTGTAAATAAATTTCCCTTAAAAAAGTCTTACTTAAAAGAAAAAAAACATAATTCATTTTCAGAATAATGTCTTGTTTTCTGCAATTAATATATATAAGCGTATAAAACTAACTTTTATAAAAACACAGTTTGTAAGTAGCAATATAACGGAACAAAACGAACAAATTAGTGCAATTTACCAGATGCAACGTCAAATGCTATTAACATCAGATTCATGAGCATGAGTTTAACGTGCTTTGCTAAACTGTCAAGCATCTAAACGGAGAGAAACTTTTTTTAATCTATCTACAATATATATATATATATATATATATATATATATATATATATATATATATATATATATATATATGAAGAGTTGATTTTCAAAACGCGATAAGCGCCATTTTTAAAAAAAATGAGCTAACGTGCCCATATTGTAAAGCTACTCAGTTACTATTAGGAAAACTTAATTTTGATCTTCACGGCGCAAAATCTTCAGTTTATTTCTATTTTTTAAAAAAAAAACGTTTGGTTTCAAAACGCGGCATTGTCGATTTTATTTAGCGTCAAAATGCGGTATCGATTCGGACCAATCCGTGTAAATAGGACTTCGACGGTCTCGACGAACGTGTTGTGCTGACATTTAAGTCCAGAAAAAGAAAGAGGTCATGCACAGAAAGAGAAAAAGAAAAGATCTTTCGTCATTCAGGAGGAGGAAAGATCCCGTCCATTGCGTGTAATCATATTAAAGGATTCTGCAAGGTAGGTTGTAGATAAAACTGTAACTTACCTAACACTAAGTTTACTTTTTTTAACACGAGCCTAGCTAGGGCTAGCCCATTGCCTTGCTTATTGCTAGACTAGACAAACGAGGACATACAAACTAGATGATAAATCGAAGTTTAGATATAATATTGACTAGAATTGTTAAAACTAGATCTAGAATGTAGTAGAGTAGATAATCTAGACTAGATCTAGAATCTCTCCCTACTTTTGGAATGTTAAGCTAGAGCTGGCAGTAGCCTAGACCTACTGGTATTCATACATTTACATTCAAGACTTCACTCACAAAATAAAAAAAAAACAAGCTAAATTCTAGTAATACTAGCAGTATAATTTTTAATATTAAATTAAATCTTACATTGTTATTGTAGCAAAACTTACATTTGTATTATTTATTTCAGGCTCGAGATATAACACCTGATGACCTGGTGAAATGCCATGCAGAGTTTTACAGCAAACTGGACAAAGTGTCACAAGATGCTGCTATAGTAGCTATGCTTGATGTGGACACCACGAAAAGAGTCAGAGTGAATGATCAGAGGAAAAACACAAGAACCATGACGACCAAATACTTTCTTTGTAGTAATGGAAACAGGCTGCAAGTTTGCCAGTCCTCTTTTTGTTCAGCATTGTGTAAGTAAATAGCTTTACCTTCAGTGAGTTGGCTTGTTAGCTATATTGGATGTGCTCGTACTGCAGTTAATGTCAATAAAAAAGTGACTATTGTCCAGAGGTTTACCTGATTATTGAAGCTCTCTTCTTTCAATCTTACAGTGAAATTATCTTAATAATACATGGTTAATATATCCCCTTTTTAAGTGCTGATTTTATTTTTATATCGTGCAAAAACAAAAGACGCGCTTCTTTACTAAAACTAAAATTAATTATATTTTTTTAATTTATATTTTCAGCCATTAATCGTGACAGAGTATTAAGAATAGCCAAACATAGGTTTGAGCATGGCACCACAAGACCGGAGAAAAGAGGAGGAAATCGAAAACAGGGACTTTTCGCTGAAAAGAGAGAGGCTGTTAAGAACCACATCCAATCCTTTACTTGCAGAGCCAGCCATTATGGCAGAAAGGGTGCGCCAGGCCGAAAATATTTGCCCTCTGAAATGAATGTAAAGCGCATGAACCAACTCTTTCTGGAGCAAAATGGCAGAACTGTTGCTGTAAATGTGAGCTACCACTATTATTATGGAGTTTTCATGAGTCACTTCAATTTGGCCTTTGGATATCCTGCTACAGACACCTGCTCAACATGCCAGACATTCAAAATGGCAATGAAAAATCTTAATTTACGAGATAATGAAAAACAAGTCAAGACTGCTCTCTTCATTCTGCACAGGAGAAAGGCAAGAAAATTTTATAGTCTCCTTAATGAAGTCAAACCCAATGAAATGACCATCTGTTTTGATATGATGGAGAACCTTGTTCTTCCAAAATTGTCTATAGGAGAGGCCTACTATTCCAGGCAACTTTAGTTTTATGTGCTAGGCTTTGTTGTACATAGGGGAAATGAGTCCCAATCTATAAATGATATTTTTTTTCTTCACATGGTTGGAAAATGAAAATGGCAAAGATTCTAACATGGTGTGCTCAGCTTTGCAGCACCTATTAAAGCACAAGTTAAAAGAAGAATGTACCAATGTCTCTGCACTTAGATTGTTCTCAGATTCTTGCTATGGACAGAACAAAAACATAAACATAGCAGCCATGCCTCTAGCTTTAAGGAAACAACATTTTGGAGGGCTACACATTTCGCACACCTTTCCAGAGCGTGGCCACTCATATTTGCCAGCAGATCGTGTCTTTGGTCGGGTTCAGCTGGATTTAAAAAAAAAGGGAACAAATTCTTGAGCCCATCGAATATCGGACATACTTAGACGCCATGGCAATGTTTTGATCTATGGCCAAGACTGGATAGCTCTTGACTTTAAGTCAGAAGTTAAATTATTTGTCAGGAGTGTCAAAAGTTTCAAAATGAGTAAAGCCAAACGATTGTTTTTCACCTCAGACAAACTGGAGGTAGCAGCCAACAGCTATCACGCTGAAACAATTTTGCATCGTCTTCTCAAAAAAGGGAAAAACTGGAAGTCATTCAACCCAAAGGAGCTTAGAAAAAAGAACTGTGTAAAGGTGGCTAAAAAGAAAGATGTTCTTCGTCTCCTTGAAGCCGTAGGAGTGGAGGAGCGAATAAAGATTTCTTATGAGGCACTGCTATGTGATGATTCTGAGGATGCGGCTCAATCTGAGTCTGATGTAGATAGTGCATAGTTTGTGTGGATTATTTTTTTTTCTTGCTTCACTCTGTTTATTTTACACTCATTTTTGTTTTCAAACCTTTTTTTTTTTTCATTTCATACTATTTCTTTTACATTTTATGATTGTTGTATAAACTAATAAACTTTTTTTCTTCTATTAAAACTATTTTATGTTGACTTTTTTATTTCTTTAGACTTTGTTAACACAGTTCAACAGTAGAAAAGACAAGCTGAACCCCATTTAAATTAAAGTCTCTTGTTAGAGACTTGCATCATTTTGAAAATTGTTCAAATAACTGAAATTACTCACTAAAAACACTTTAAAGTAACAGAAAAACATGGTACAATTGTAGTAAGATGGTAACACTGGGAATATAAGTGGGTTTTAATAAAATAATAAACTAAAATATTGGACATTAGATGTATTATCAGAAAAAAATGGATATACAGCGTTTTGTTGCTTAACAAAAGCTGGATATACCTCATTTTGCAACGAAACGCAAATTTTGGGACCAAAAAAAGCATCTTTTTATGCAGGTACATTTCAAAAACCATTCTAGTCCTATTTATATGAGGGTTATGAACCTAAATTGACAAACAGTTTTAGCATATTGAACAATGGCTTCGTGTAGGAGAAAAGTGCGATTTTCTCGAAACCCAAATTTTGGATATATTGCATTTTGAAAATCAACTCTTCATATATATATATATATATATATATATATATATATATATATATATATATATATATATATATATATATATATATATAAATATATATATATATATATATATATATATATATATATATATATATATATATATATATATATATATATATATATATATATATACACAAAATACGAACAAAGGATACTCATTGCTGGCCTGCTCGTGTTTTTAAAAAAAATGTTTTTTTTTTTCAATTAATACAAATTACAACATCATTTCATGTGTGTAAATGCATTAGTGTGTTTTGTGGAAATAAATTTTATTTTATCTCTGCTATAAGATGTTGATCTCTAGTCGGTCGAAAGAATATAAATCATGAAAAATGTTTCTTTTTATGTTTTTTTTTTGTATTTATATTATTAATTTTAAATAAATTTCCTTTTTGTACAATGTCATTCTTTAGTAAATATTTTATTAAAAAAATAATAATTAAGAGAAGTAATTGCTTTTTAATTTATTTAGTACAAATCTATTTTTAAAAAGCTTATGAGTACCTCTATTTGACTATTTAAAAAGGCTTTCACAGTGGTTTATAAACAAAGAGAAAAAGAATAATTATACAAGAGCGGGGGTGGTGTCTTTATAATAAAGATTATCCAACCGCAGCTACGGTAATCTTTTTTACAAAACAACCACCAAATAAAAATGAATGAATTTTTTTTTAAAAAACTATAAAAAAAACTATTATGGTCGGCAGTGGGCCCCTTAATGTCGTGCCCCCCCCCGCATAGCGGGGTCTGGTGGCAATGTAGTTCCGCCTCCTTTGGTGTAGTTCCGCCTCCTTTGGTACCGGATTTGGTTGCGAAAGTCTCTAAAAGGACACCAGAATTCGCTGCCCTATCACCTTACTGAATTCATTCTTTACTAATTGGCTTACTGTCCCCATCTAACGAGCCTAATCAGCCCGGGGAACTCAAGCATTCAAGCTAATAGCAATGCTATCTTCTCTTTACTAGATAGCTGGCTGTCCCCAGCTAACGAGCCTTATTAGCCCGGAGACAAAATTCAAGCAGTCAAGCTAATAGCAATGCTATCTTTCACTGACTTGACCCGTACCATCAAAACGAAGATATCGCTTTTATTTATAGTTAAAAAAAAAACAATAGCACATTATTATAAATAAGGCCAATATTTGTTTTGATTTAACTTTCACATTACATTTTTAAAAAACCAACTTGAACAATTGTGTTAATTACTAACCATGTACTAAAACATAAGTTAATAGGTAAATATTTTATCTCTGCTAGATCTACATAGATTGAACAGTTTCTTCCGGATTCAGTAAGGCGTATTACATTTTTTAGCTTCACAAAAGCATGTTTAAACATAGTGCTTTTTGGGCATAATTATACTGCGCTGTAAGTGGTGCGCAAAAAGATTACGATTTTAATATATATATATATATATATATATATATATATATATATATATATATATATATATATATATATGTGTGTGTGTGTGTGTATGTGTGTAATATATATATATATATATATATATATATATATATATATATATATATATATATATACTGGAAAACGTAGCTGAACCCATCAAATACGTGAACGTTGTTGGGAAACGAACCAGAGAGATACCACAAGTTGGTCAATTAGTTCAACAAACCTGAGACATACCACAAGTTGGTCAATAAGTTCAACAAGCCGGAGAGTTACCACAAGCTGGTCATTTAGCTCAACAAACCAGAGAGATACCACAAGCTGGTCATTTAGTTCAACAAACCAGAGAGATACCACAAGCTGGTCATTTAGCTCAACAAACCAGAGAGATACCACAAGCTGGTCATTTAGTTCAACAAACCAGAGAGATACCAAAAGCTGGTAAATAAGTTCAACAAACCAGAGAGATACCACAAGCTGGTCATTTAGCTCAACAAACCAGAGAGATACCACAAGCTGGTAAATAAGTTCAACAAACCAGAGAGATACCACAAGCTGGTCAATAAGTTCAACAAACCAGAGAGATACCACAAGCTGGTCAATAAGTTCAACAAAAGCTCAACAAACCAGAGAGATACCACAAGCTGGTCATTTAGCTCAACAAACCAGAGAGATACCACAAGCTGGTCAATTGGTTGCAGCTATTTGGTTCATGTTTTACTAGGTAGCCGTGCAATATCATTGTAATTATAACTTGACTTATATCTCTGTATCCAATGTTGCGCAAAGTGTTGCTGCTACACTTTTCCGACTGAATCTGCTGTGTGCAGCTTTCTTTAGTTCAGCCCAAGTGAGTCCTGCAGCCCTTGTTTATACTTCCACAGACTATTTTCTTGACTGTTTAGTTAAGTCCAGTAGTCTGATCTCCCGAGGTTTCATCAATTAACATCAGCTGTATCAACTATCTTGTATACATAGCCCTTATTTCTCTACAGATTCTTTATTAAATGAATTAAATAATCCTCTTTAGACCAAACAATCCATTGGACAGACGAAGTAGAGTTCATATGAAACCTTCACATCGGCATATGAAGGGAAGGTGTAGTCAGCACCTTGTCAAGCCTTTACACTTACCCTAACTTACCATCCGAGCAAAGTGGACACAGGGGCGTTCTACTGTTTTGGACCCAGATTCAAACTCGAGACTTTCTGGTTGTAAACCTAACGCCATGCCGTTTTGTCAATTTCATTGAAGATACACCGTATTTTATCTTCTTTGGGTTCTCCAAAGTTTTTGTTAGTCAAGTCCAATTCTCTCGTTTCTTTTGTCTTAAAATTATTTTAACAAATTAATTAAATTAATCATTGTTAAGTTAAGTTTAAAGCAAAAGAATTATGGTGTGCTCAAATAATTTAAATGATTCTAATGTCATACGTAGCGACACATGTGATCTATTTTGTTGGAGATAATTTGGATAACAAATTATCAGTTAAGCTAATTACAATAACCACCAACTTGCATTAAAATAAAATTTAAAAATTCAAAGAAAAGTTATCAAAATAAAAAGCGTAAGTCGTTTATTATAATAAATATATCACAATATAGAAGCTCGAGCATGCATGTAAAACACAACAGTAAACCACATAGTGACGTCATCTCCACCAACACCACTCTGTTCTGAAAGCAATTATCTTACTCAAGGAGAACTGTTTGTTTGGGGATGAAAATATATAACATCAGTCAATTCAGCAGCATCAATGTTTAACTATTTTGCTACTTGAATAATATTTTCTAAATGAATTTAAAAAAAAAATACTGTTTTCGCAAACACAGAATGCCAGCGTACAGAAGTACGAACATAAATAAAGCAACGATAGTCGATATCTCTCCAGCAGACACTGGTTGTTCTTTTGCATACCGGTTCGTTGATAGCGTCTGTAAACTTCGTGTTTTCAAATAAGATGTAGAACTATTCTCAGCTATAATAAAATAAAATAAACTGTTATTCATAAATAAAGTAAACAGTGGTATTTAACAAATAACAAATAAGGCGTCATCCATAAATGACGTCACGCTTTTTTTGACGATTTTTACCTCCCCCCTCCCCTCCGTCACA